GTGTGGAGAAAGGGAAGTGCACGGAGCTCGTCAGGTGTGCAAGTGTCAACAGGTGGATACACTTCTACAGGTGTGCTGTTGTCTACCTCAGTGGAGCGCACAGTGCAGCCCACTGACCTTGCAATCCCAGCTGCAAACTCCTGGTCACACAGGTGGACCTGCATGTCTTCTGTGTCTGCGTAGAGCTCTGAAGAGGGGTCTTCTGGCCTGAAGGGGGAGCACTCCTGCTCAACAGCCATCTTCAAGCCCACAATCCTGTGGTGTGGCCTCTGCCTTTTACGGGGTTCATCCGACGGTGGAAAAGGCTCTATGTAGAGTGGGTTCACATCAGAGCCAGACAGGCTCTTCATGCTGCTGCACGCTTTTTTGACTCTCAAGGGTTTCAAAAGACTGTTACTCAAACCATCCATTTTCCTTCGGGGCTCCATGCAGTTATTGTCATTTGACCTGTGGAGCCTCCTGGTGGACTGGTGGTGCAGTGCATTATGGGTTGAGGGGTGATCTTGACCCTGGACTGAGCTGCGCATCCGTCTGAGAATGACCTCCTGGGTCTGCTCATATTTGTCGTTCATGTCCCTCAACATACGACCACGACCCTCCAGATACTCCTGCCTCTCTCGCTCCATTCTCTCCAGACAGGAGGGATCAGGGATGATGGGGCTCTTCCGAATGGAATCCTGGAAAACAGAACAGAGAACATGTTCCACTGATTAGGCTAAACACCAGCGTAAATTAGGATCTACACAGTAAAGGTGGACAATATGAAAAACATATGATATAATACTTTAAAACATTAATAATACACTTCAATGATTTAATATGTTTGAACAGACAAGAACCAGTACAGCCACATTTAAAACATTATAAAAACTACACCCAGTTTACAGCACTTACTGTAACTTATTTAGAGATGAACATTTTTTAAATGTACCACATTAAGTCGTCACAGTTCTGTAGTCATATAGACCTGAGATTTGATCAGAATATCAATAAAGAACATGCTTTAGATTTAAGAGTAAATTAATAAGTGTAAGTTCTTTTAAATACCGCTGTCGTCCAGCTGTTCTTCTTCTGTGAATCTTCTCTCCTCATCTCTGCAGTCAGTTCTTACAGTTCATAATAATCATCTGAGATAATCGTTCCTCCACAGTCTCATCACATCGAATGATTAGAATGTTAAAAGACGGTCTTTATGTCGGGCAGTGTGACGTCATCAGTGGGCGTGTCTCTATTATTGCATCATCGCCCGGAGAGAGGTCCTCTACCAAAACTACCGTCTCAACACTACAACCATGATGACGTCATACCTGGATGTGAAGGACTGAGAATCTATTAAAGAGTAAAATGTGTTAAAGAGCTTAAATAAAGGTGAAATATTAGAAGAGGAACAACAGATCAGCTCTCACTGATGCACTGATTCTAAAGACTACAGTGAGAATCTGTCAGTTCATGAAAACTATGATCAGTTTAATCTGATGATTCACTTCATTATAATAAACTAGAACTGAACACGAATCACAGAGAAGAAGAAACATTTGAATGTGAATGTTGTTTATTATTTATTGATCAGTTACATAGACACAGACAGTTCCTGTTACTTTAAAGTCAATCAGAAATCATAACGCATCTCCTTCAGTACTGTAACATATTTCTGAGTGAAACTCGGTATCAGGGAGGGTCTCTGAACCAGCTGAGACTCACTGGATGATAGGTGGGTGTGATGGGGTGAAACACGATAAGAACTGTGTGTTTCTAATTATGAATCATCATTAATATGATCAGAGACTCAAACTAACGAGGTAAAAACATCAGTTTTGATTTGAGAATGACTTTAAGCTCAGAGCTCAGACACTTCAGATTAACAGCTTTTACAGTTTGACAGTGTTGATAACTTTGAGTGTTGATTTAGTTTCTCAGTCTGAAGTGAAGTTCATGTCTTGTTCTGCAGTAAAACTGTTCTAACAGACCCTCAGTGGAAGTTCTCTGTAGTTTTTCAGTAAATGGCTTATTTTGATACTTAGCTATAGCTGCCAGCTAACGGTACCAGGTTCAGTCACTATTTGTCGTTTTTCGTTTGTTGATGTAAACAGAGCTTAACAGACTTTATCAGATACTAAATCTACACTGAGCTCTTTATTTAAGCTGCAAGCTATTTATTATTTAAAACCCCATTTCCAAAAAAGTTGAGACACTGTGCAAAATGTTAACAAAAAACAAAATTCAGTGATGTGCAAATCATTTATATCCCTATTTAAACCCTATATACTGTTTTAAAGTGTCTCCTCAGCCTCTCCTGTTTGATCTGGATGCTGTGTTGACTGTTGCTCCACAGATGTAGAACAGAACGTCCATCTCTCTCAGCTTTTCTCCAGGATCCAGAGCTCCTGCATCTTCAGCTCTGAAAGTCCAGTCCACTGAGCTCATGGTGAGTGTTGTGTTGTTTATGTTGGGGGTTTATGGTTTTGGATGTGGCTGTAGGTCTGAGATGATCATCAGCTGCTTAAGCTGTCAGAGGTCTGTGGATCATGAAGAGAAGATCTAGTGACTGTTTTTTCCAGTTAGTCAAATGTAGAACGTTAAAGTCTTTAAAATGATTGTAGGTGTACTAACATCATTTAGTCACTGGAGGGCAGTAGTGTATGTGTAGTAGCCCTGTAAAAGGGAAGATAATTAAAGGACAAACTCTCCGTTGTGCTTTCTCTTCTCTGTCTTTATTGGATTAACATGTCACTTGTTATTTTTCCTCTAAACCATTCACATTCAACTCTTATAGACCAGAATACAACTACAATAGTGTGTAAATTACTGTTTCAACCATTGCAATCTGACATTCAGAAGTTTGTAGGTTACTACCTTTTAACCAACCGTATTTGGCATTCGCACACACTATTTTAATCAAACGCAGCACGCAGTGTGCCTCGTGGTCTTTTGCTAACCATGGGAGGTTTATGCACTTAGCCATTTCACCGCTCACAACAACAAACATATATAACTACGTACAAAACGCTTTCCCATCACAGAACACACACTAAGTATGGCTATATACTGGATTCAACTTGTTCTTAGAAAGAAATGTTTATGCTTTGTGTGTTTTTACCTATAAAAGGGAAGATAATTAAAGGACAAATTCTTGTGCTTTCTCTTCTCTGTCTTTATAGCGAACGAAGAGAGGCACAGCGAGAGCGCCCCCTGACACAGGCATGAGCAATCGATCATCGATAGTCTTTTCAATCCAGTATATGAGCCAATACCCAAAGACAGCAGATCAGTTTCTTTTTTTACAGGTACCAACATGCTTTGATAAAGACCAATAGATTTTAACCCCAAATCCTCCCTTTTAGCTAGCTGCCACAGACATCCAGAAAATACTGTATCAAACATGAATAAGAATTAACACTTTAAACATTTCCTATTACCACACTAATTTCTCATTGCACACAAACATCAGATCTTTAAATATCCATTAAGATGTAGAATTATTTTAACAGTTAGTTAGTGTGTTGTTATATTTGCATTTTTTAAACGGGTTACACATGCGCACTTTTGTTGATGTGAAAGTGAGACACTCAGTCAGAGGGGGTTTTGGGGGCTAACAGTGCAGGATCAACCATGCTGATAAACACCACACTGCATATTCCTGTAGGAGAGAAAGAGAAAGAGAGAGTGAGAGAGAGAGAGAGAGAGAGAGAGAGAGTGTGTGTGTGCGCATGTGTGTGTGTGTGTGTGTTATGTAAAACCGCAGTGGTTGTGAAACAGAAAGATGCCGATTTACCAGAAACACAAGTAGCTTATATCAGTTTCAGGAAAATCTCATCATTACACTCTTAATCAAAGATATTACAGCTCTAAATGTAAATTTTCTTTATTGTTCTTTGTTTTTCCTGTAACGCTGCTGAATCAGAAACTGTGGTCTCTCTATATGGAAATCCAGCAGGGCCAATATGTGTGAAAATATCCACATCAATGTATCAATAGAATTTTGCATCTTAATACATACTTTTTTGATACCACGACATAGAAATAGTGTAACGTGGGGTAGAAGAACCCAAAATAATGTCCTACTCCATCTTTTTTTCCTGATGAAGTTATTGGGCCAAATCTAATTTTGACACATTTACTGATTGTTTATAGTTTATTTTACATTTATTCTGCATTTATTCTGGGTCACTGCATTCCTGATATTTATTACCCCAGAACTTCTGTGACATTGTATAATAGTGCTCTGTGCATTTCTACAAAATGGTACAAGAAAAATAGTTAAAAGTCAGTGATGATGAGGAGAGTTGAGGAGAGAGTGATGCATTTGGGTTAGAGAATTTTTTTTGTCTTGAAGTGTAAAGCTAGACCAGGGGGTCCCAGCAGACATGGGGCAAAAGGCCCCCTTCAGCATGTTAACACACATAAATCATTTAGTTAAATTTTCACTATAAAAACACAAAGGTGTCCACTAGAGTTTCACTGACTAGCCAGCATTACTGTTACATTCTAGCTAAAGCAATGATTATCTGGAATTACCTTTAGCCATCTTGCTGGAGATCCTCCCTCTACTGTGAACCTCATCTTCCTGTTTCAGCAAAGCATAGTGGATCATGTAGTTTTCGGGCCAGAAATGAATCTACACAGAGGTTCTGTATCACTTCTTCATTAGTGTGTTTAGTCTGTATATCTGTCTGCATGTTCAGTCTGTGTAGTTTTATTCTTATTTATCAACCTAAAATGTTTAACTGTTAACAGATAACAGTAAATGAATGACAGTCCACTTAAAGTGTCTTCTCTATTTTTTAACTATGAGTTCTTTTAAAAGGGAAGGAAAGCGTCACTAAAACCGCTGACTGAAACACTGAACACTTACTCCACCACCACAAACACACCCCTCACCCACACACTGTTCTTACACTCTGCTCTCACTCTGCTCTGTCCACTCAGCTACACAGCTGTGAGAAGACTTTACAGAAGAATGTAAGTAGTAAAGATTTTCATCTTCAGTGTTTTCTGCATAATTTTCTGTGTTAATGAATATATACATTTTTTTAAAGGACTACAGTTTTCTCTGTAAAAAACTATGAAGCATCTGATTGTTAGATTGTTACATTCATGCGTTGGAACTACACAAACATATTATTCTGTGATTTATTTTACAGTAAAAGTGGAATCATGAGCTCTGAATGTGGGATGTTATCACTCATCATCCTGCTGTGTGTTTCAGGTAGGATTATTCTGCTTTTTGTGATTTGCTATGTTTATGGCAAGTATTTACTGCTTTAACACGTGAAAACAATGGAGTAAAAAGCTTTTATTTTACCTCGTAGATGTTGAGCTAAGACAGTGTGTCTATAACGCATTTTTGGGAAAATCGAGAAGAATATAGAAATACTAGCTGTGAAAACTGAGTATCAAGACGTACAATTACCAAAGGTATTTACCGTAGGTAGTGGCTGTGGTGGTAGAGGAAATTAGCAATTTTTGGTGTTATTTTCTTTGCTGTTACTTTGAAGAACTCACATTCTATCCTATCAGAACTATTTGTAGAAAGTTTGTAGATAGATAACTAAGTTACAGCTCTCCACTGTGTGCTGTGGATGCACAACATGACTGACAGACATGTAGATACGCCTGCTTTATCCTGAATGATTCACAGGCAATTAGACACACCTCCTCATCCTGACTGGTTGATAGGCAAGTAGATGTGCCTTGTTTGAATGTTAAACAGCCCACTTTTTTCTCTAACATTTACAGAGCTTTTTCAGAGTTACAGACATTTCAGCATTTCTAATGAGAAAGGGAGGTCATTGCAGGTCATTTGTTACTGAGGAGGTGTGGCCACTTAGAGATACATTTTAAAAGTTCTATTGAGGAAGTGAGGTCACATTTTAACATTTTTCTTGGGGAACTTCATCTGATTAGTGACCCTTGTGTGTCCACACAGCTCAGTTACCCTGTCTGTCTATCCAGCTCAGATACCCTGTCTGTCTGTACAGCTCAGTTACCCTGTCTGTCTGTACAGCTCAGTTACCCTGTCTGTCTGTACAGCTCAGTTACCCTGTCTGTCTATACAGCTCAGATACCCTGTCTGTCTATCCAGCTCAGATACCCTGTCTGTCTATACAGCTCAGATACCCTGTCTGTCTATACAGCTCAGATACCCTGTCTGTCTATCCAGCTCAGATACCCTGTCTGTCTATACAGCTCAGATACCCTGTCTGTCAGTACAGCTCAGATACCCTGTCTGTCTGTACAGCTCAGATACCCTGTCTGTCTATACAGCTCAGATACCCTGTCTGTCTATACAGCTCAGATACCCTGTCTGTCTATACAGCTCAGATACCCTGTCTGTCTATATGGCTCAGTTGCCCTGTCTGTCTATACAGCTCAGATATTATGCCCTGTCTAAGGATACAAATAGTTTAATTTTAGCCCCGGACATGGTTCACACTTGTGGTTAGCCACTCAGCTGGGTTGCCTTGGTGACCCTTCCTCTTTTGCTTTTCTGAGCATGTTTTCTTGTTATAAGGGTAAAGAGCAGCTGGTCTACAATTTCCAATATTATAAAGAGTCCATTAATTCTTTTTGACACTAGGAAAAGTTTGATTCTAGTACTGATTCCTTTGTTTCTCTGCATGTCTTTAACTTCATATTGCATGACTTAATGAGAATAATGGTCATTTTTAGAACAGAGTAGGGCACAACCTAACACATTAAGATTAAGATTTTTTACAACGCATCTTACAGTAATGTTGCAAATACAGTAACTCCTCATATAGCCAGGCCCAACATCATGGGGTCATTTAGTGGTGCAGTACCCCACCAACCAATCATCATTCCCCACTAAACCAACTGCTCTTTATACATGTTTCTATAGTGACAGGCAGCAAAAAACAGTGAAGTAGAAATAAACTCTGTGGGCTCTGCTAGTAAAAGGTGACAGCAGTTAGCACAGATAAAGGGTTTGCCTGCATCACTTTGTACTGACGGAAGCGCTGATTTCCTCAGTTGATAGATCTTGGTGATGCTTCACAACGTTCAGTAATCATAAAACACTTACAGTGGAAAAAGTTCATTTCATGGTACAAAAACAATTTTCAAAGTGAATCTTTGGTTATGAATATTTGGTTAATCTTGACAAGCACATTGTAATGTCCTGTCCTGCCTTGACCTTGTCTTTATTTTGTTTCCTTGTTTTCGTCTGTCATGTGCCTTCGTTTATATTTGCCATGTGCTTTGTTTTCTAGTCCATGTGCTTTTGTTGTTGTGTTAGCTTCTCCCCTGTTCTGCCAAAGTGGTCAGCCCACACTTGTTTCTTATTCTTAGCCCTGCCCCTGTCATTGTTTTCAGATGTCTCTCTCGTATATATATATATACATATATATATATATATATATATATGTATGTATGTATACCCCTTGTTTCAGTGTGGTCTTTGTTTGGCATTGAATGTGAATGTGTGTGCATGTTTCTTCTGGACTGTTCATAGATCAGTTGTAGCTTTGTTATGTTCTTGCTTAAGTTTTGCCTCTTAGTTCTGTTTCTTGTCTTGTTTTACTCGTGTTCTTGTTTCTTCTGCTTATTGCTCCTGTTTCTGCCATGGACTTCAATAAAATCAACTTGCACCTGCCTCCTGCTTCATCTCCTGCTCAGTCAATGTTACACACATTCTATTTGAATGAGTTTATTATGTAAAATAGATATGTGTTAGGTTGTGCTCTGCTGTCCTCTGCTCCTTGTAAAAAAAATAATTTCTTAGATGCAGAAATCATAACTAAGTTCATATTGTGTTCACGGTTTTAGACATTAACGCTAGAAACCATTATATATTAATATAGGGATGTTGGCCAGTGTCCAATGTAGTGGGCCTCAGAATTAACTTTTAATCAGTAGTTATAAACAAATATAAATATTAGATTAATAATCATTTATGGTTATATTTAGAACAGAAATAGAGCATGATCATGTTAGCATCATGACAGCTCTGATCACAGTCTTCTTGGTACATAATTAGGGTCTGAAATGCTTGGGTAATATATGATACACCATTGGCTTTTCACTGTGCAATAAACACTCAACTATAGTTAGTAATGGCTGTTAGGACTTTTCTTTTTTCATCTGTTACCGAAAACAGGCTGATATCCAATTCAGATAGTATAAATATCTTCTAGTACACATAAATAGGGTACTTGTCTCTGATTTTGCAATAAAAATGTGAAATGAATAAATGTGGGCATCAAAAATATTTTGAAAGCATTTGTATTTATAGTAAATGAACATATATAGACACACGTTAAAGGGGAACCACCATAGTGACAGTGTTTGTACCCTGAAACAGTTTTTAAGATTATGTTGTATGTTGTAATAAAATACTCATCGTCATTCCCAGCCTTTCAGCTATAATCTGCCAGAGGAAATAAAGTAATCTGTTAAGTTAATTCATGAAAATTATGTGTTCAAAATTAATTTAAAGCTTTTTTTAAATGGGCTACACTGACATCTAAGCTTAGTGGGAGTACTGGGATCAACAATAGTAAAATTAACTTTATCTCTATACTTCATTATTATGTTAATAAACACTTGTACAATCTTTTTAATATACAAAATACATTTCAATTTACAACTTAGACCATGATTTTTATTGATGGTATAACCAATTTATATTGCTTTTATGTACAAGTATGTTTTTTCATGATACTGTTACAAGCCCATATGACAACAACAGCTTTTTGTATATTATAATATCAAATAAATCATTACATATTATTATTAATTTTTGTTTTAAGTAGTTTCCAAAATGTTTTGATTTGCTATCTGATGTTTTTATTTATTTTTGTTCTACACTATTTATCCATAACCATAATCATTTGTTTTTTCAAATACAAAATATTTCTTTTAAAATCCAAAACAAACAAATCATTTACATTATAAAATCAAGATATTTTTATATCGTATGAAGCTATACTTAATATGATTTAAAATTATCTTGATTTTATTATGCTTAACAATTGTCACCAAGTTTGGTTAGTGTTAGAAAAATCTTCTTTAAATAATCAGCCTGAGACCACCAATGTCTTTGAAGCTTTTATTCTTGCAGCAAGGGAGCAGTTACACACAGAGTCAAGTCTAAAATGTAATGCTCAAAGTGCTTTGGGTCATGCCCTGTCTTATACCTTTGGAAATGTACGTTTTACTCTTACTCAGCTGAACTATTCTTCAACTTCTTGTTTTATCTATTTCCTGATACATCCCTTTTCTTAGAGTTTACCCAAAGGACAAGTTCTCCTTTCTGCGTACCGTTGTTTCCTCTTCTTACTGATAGGAGAGCCCTTCATCTGACCCCAGAGTGTACGCAGTGCACTCTGTCTGAACTCTTCTGCCTACAGAGTTCTAAGCTTAAGCATAACCATATATGGTGATTCAAGCATTAACATAGAGTATAATACTGAATTTTTCTGACAGTTAGCAAATGTCTTCTGTTGTGGACCCCTCAGAGAATAAAGTACAGTAGTGACTTCTAAAATGGCTGCACAGTGAAAACACAAGGTCATATATAACCTTAAAACAAAACACTTGATTGGCTTAAAAACTTAATATGTGTAACAACTTGTTACACTGGACATGAGACATCATGTCTTTAGGACTTTCTTTTTGTACTTCTTCCAATAAATAAGCAAGTACATTTATAAGGTACAGGTGTTTAATTGGTTCACTTCCCCTGTTGTTACTCTTATTACCTCCCCTGTTATTATCTCCCCTTAAACGCCACTGATCCTCAGTCTCATATCTTACACAACTGGTATTTTATGAGGATTACAGGAATACCATCTACTGCAGCTAACATAGCAGTATCCTGAGACACATCACCAGCTAATCTAGATAAGAAAGTGAATGAATAATTAATACTAGTCTTATAACAATGTAATACAAATTCCTAATACAGACCAGTTTTACTGCTATCAAAATATATTTTGAGATTCTACCTGTCCAGACAGCTCAGTCTATTAGATTTATATATAGCCTTGAACAAGTTCTGTTTTAAGACACTTTAAGACATGCAGAATATTTTGATGAACAGCTTTATCAGGATGATTTCTCTATTATATTCTCTGTTCCAGGTTGTCTCGGTGAGCGTGTCAGTGTGTCCTGCAGTCCTCAGACTGTCTGTGCTCTGCGGGGGTCAACGGTGGAGCTGACGTGTTCTTACTCAAAACATATCAAAACTGGTTCAGCTCTGAAGAGAAAGCTAAATGGAGGAATGAGGAACATCCAGAGGATTTAGCTTCAGACTCAGACTACACAGGACGAGTGAACACTGAGAGCACAGACTCCAAATCAACTCTTACAATCAGAGAGCTGAGAGAGAGAGACTCAGGAGAATATCACCTCATGATCATCACAGAACAAGGAGAGAAACACTCCAGTCCTGCAGTTACAGTAACAGTTGCAGGTAATCAAACAATAAAATTATGACACTATAATTAGACTTTTACTATTTAAATAATCTTGTAATGAACTGTATCTTCATCAGATCTACAGCTGAAGATGACCCAGAGTGGACAGGAAGTGACTCTTACCTGTAGCACATCTTGCAGTCTGACTTCTAAACCTGATTACTACTACTGGTTTAAGGATACACAGTATACAAGCAAATACACACCTTACAGTGATGCTCAGCCACTCGTTTTATCCAGCAGAGCTGATGCTGGCAGTTACTCCTGCTCTGTTAGCAGCCATGAGCAACTCAAATCCTCTGCAGTCGGTGAGTGAAGTGCAACTCAATACAGAGATTTTCTTCACTGGTTATTAATAAACCAATCACATATAACAGCAGTGATTTGTGTTTCTTACAGATGTTTTTAAAGAGGACTCTGAGATGAATGTGAGTTACACAGAAAGACAGATCGATACTGTGGAGGGTTTATCAGTGGATTTTCTCTGCACTTACTCACATCCCAAAGCTGAGAGAGTTAATAAAGCTTTCTGGTTTTACTTTCGGCCTGAAGTGGAGTCAGAGGAGCTGAGTGAGGAAGAGCAGTTTGCTGGTCGAGTGGAGTTTATTGGAGATAAAGAGAGAAACTGCACTCAGAGAATGAGAGATGTGAGAAAGAGAGACTCTGGAGAATATCGCTTTCGGTTCAGCACTCAGTCTGGAGAGACATTTACTGGATCACCTGGAGTCACTCTGAAAGTTACAGGTAACTGCACACACTACTGTTTTTATCTCCTTTGTTTTCCACTGTATAATAGTTCTTACATATGAATTGCATGTTCAGCTCTGCAGTTGAGAGTGATTTCCAGTGCAGAATCAGATAGACAGACAGTAACACTGATGTGTAGCAGCACCTACCCTCTGCCTAACAACCCCACATACATGTGGTACAAGAACAGACAGCCTGTAACTAACAAACTCACCAGAGACAACAAGCTGTACCTGACGTGCAGTGAAGATGCAGGAAACTACTCCTGTGCTGTGAGAGGACATGAGAAGCTCCGCTCTCCTGATCGAACACTCAGTGACTGTAAGTCCTGTAAAACACACATCTCACTAATGACCTAAAGTAGATCTCTTCAGCTTTGTTTACTGACCTCTTGTGGTCCTTTACAGTATTGCAGAAAACCATGCTAAATTGCTATCATATCTAGGAGAAAATCATGCAAACTCACTAATGATGATTTTAAAGCTTGGCAGAAATATTGGTAGAAAATATTTTAGAAATGACACTTGTACTTTAGATTTTTTAGTTGTTTGACTTAAACAAATGTAAATGTAAACAGAATGCAACAATTTGCAAATCTTATAGACCCATATCTTATTCACAATAGAACATAGAACACATATCAGATGTTGAAAGTGAGACATTTTACTGTTTCATGAAAAATATTAATTCATTCAGAACTTGATGGCAGCAGTGCATCTCAAAAAGTTGGGACAGGAGCAACAAAAGGCTGGAAAAATAAGTGGTACTAATAAAAAAACAGCTTGAGCAATTTGCAAATAACTCCCATGACTGGGTATAAAAAGAGCATTTTAGAGAGGAAGAGTCTCTCAGAAGCAAAGATGGGCGGAGGTTCACCAATCTGCAAAAACCTGCATCTAAAGATTGTGAAACAATTTCAGAAAAATGTTCCTCAAGGTAAAATAGCAAAGACTTCCCATCATCTGCAGTACATAATATCATTAAATGTTTCATCAAATCTGGAGAAATCCCTATACACTAGGGACAAGGCCAACGGTCAATATTGGATCTTTGGGCCCTCAGATGGCACTGCATTAAAAACAGGCATGATTCTGTATTGGAAACCCTGCATGGGCTCAGGAACACTTCCAGAAATCATTGTCTGTGAACACAGTTTAAGATTAGGCGACCCTTATTAGTCCCACAATGGGGAAATTTCACTTCCACATTTAACCCATCCGTGCAGTGAAACACCACATACACACTAGTGAATGCACACTCAATAGGGGGCAGTGAGCACACTTGCCTGGAGCGGTGGGCAGCACTATCCACAGCGTCCAGGGAGCAGTTGGGGGTTAGGTGCCTTGCTCAAGGGCACTTCAGTCATGTAATGTCAGCTCAGGGGATTGAGCCGGCAACTTCCCAGTCACAGGGCTGGTTCCCTAACCTCCAGCCCATGACTGTTCGCTGTGCAATCCACAAATGCAAGTTAAAGCTGAATCATGCAAAGAAGAAGCCGTATGTCAACACAATCCAGAAACACTGCTGTCTTCTCTGGGCCAAAGCTCATTTAAAATGGACTGAAAAATGGAAAACTGTTTTGTGGTCAGATGAATCAAAATTTAAATTCTTTTTGGAAACCACAGACGCTGTGTCCTGCAGACTCAAGAGAAGAGAGAGCATCCAGCTTGTTATCAGCGCACAGTTCAAAAGACTTCATCTCTGATGGTGTGGGGTTGAATTAGTGCCTATGGCGTGGGCAGCTTACACATCTGGAAAGGCACTATCAATGCTGAACAGTATATAGAAGTTTTAGAACAACATATGCTCCCATCCAGACATAATTTCTTTCAGGGAAGGCCTTGCATATTTTAGCAAGACAGTGCTAAACCACATACTGCATCCATCACAACAGCATGGCAGAAGAGTCCCGCTGTTGAACTGGCCTGCTTGCAGTCCAGACCTTTCACCAATAGGAAACATTTGGGGCATCATGAAATAAAAAATCTGGCAAAGAAGACCCAGGACTGTTGAGCAGCTAGAATCCTACATCAGACAAGAATGGGACAACATTCCTCTCCCAAAACTCCAACAATTGGTCCCCTCACTTCCCAGACATTTACAGACTGTTGTTAAACGAGGAGGGGATGCTACACAATGGTAGACACGGCCCTGTCCCAACTTTTTTGAGATGTGTTGCTGCCATTAAGTTCTAAATGAGTTAATATTTTTCATGAAATGGTAAAATGACACAGTCAACATCTGATATGTGTTCTATGTTCTGTTGTGAATAAAATATGGTTCTATACGATTTGCAGATCATTGCATTCTTTTTATTAATACATTTTTTGCTTATTTTAAAAACATTGCGATCTGCCAATAGAGTGAAATATTGTCACTTAAAGTACTTAGAGAAGTGTGAAATGTCTAAAAATAAGTGAAATAATCTTATAATATTCCAACATCAATCTAAAAATTAGAATTTGTAGATGTACTAACTAAGTTTAATATGATCTCACTTGCCAAAATATCATTTTTGCTGCCTAGACAGCAGAAACACATTACATTTTTAAATTCTGTAATTTATGTGGTTTATTTGTGAAGGTGCTGAAGGTTCAGAGCAGAGCTCCATGTTAAAGCTGGTCACAGTGGGAGTGTCAGTCTTTCTGGCTCTAATACTCATCATAGCAGCTCTGTGGATGTGGTATGTAAACTGTGAACATCATGTTTTGCGCAAGACTGACAAATGAATGCAGATTTGGTATTATTCTCATTGTTGGTTTGGCAGGAGGAGAAAGTCCAGCTCATCTAAAGGCCACAGGAGCTCTGGAGAGAGTGGACAGGTCAGAATGTTAGAAAGAAATGAGTGCAGTTCAAATACAGTTCAATTTTCATGCTAAATTTCTCTCTCTCTCTCTCTCTCTCTCTCTCTCTCTCTCTCTCTCTCGCTTTCTCTCTCTCTCTTCCTCAGCGTGACTCTACTGCTGTGTATGATAACCCCTCAGCAATGCCATCTGACCCCACAAGCAGAGTCTCAGATGATCAGGATGACATTCACTACTCCAGCGTTCAGTTCAAATCCTCTCACTCACAGGCAGAGCCTCCATTAGTCACTGCTAAACATCTAGACACCATAAAGGAGGATGTTCAGTACGCTGCTGTGAACTTCACTGCTGCCCCCCAGTGAGCAAACCCTGTCATCACATCTACACTCACTTTAAAGAGCTTAGCTTATTACATTACACTGATTAAATACACATGAAGCCATTCTTAGTCTCTACATCTCCTCATGTTCCTCAGAGCTCTGGATGCAGAAGCAGCTGACGACCCGTCTCAGCTCTACAGCCAGATCCAAAAACACAAACCCCCAACTTAAGCAGCATAAAACTCTCTTCATGGAGGAGCTTTGGATCCTGGACAGAGAGTTGGAGGTTCTGTTCTAGATTTGTGCTTCAGCAATCAACACCACATCCACATCAAGTGCATTAGTTTTCTTGGTGTGTTAGTTCTGTATTAGGACTGTAATGTTTTAATATTCTAATGTTACTATGTTTGCAATTTATTGGAAATTTGTAATAGTTGTAGTTCATTAATAGTGTTTTCAGCTACGCTGTTATGCAACCTGTAGACAGTTCCAGTTCTAAAATCTGATTGGCTGAGCCGTGTTCTAAGCCTCGAATATCCTTTTTTTAATCCTATTTTGTATTAATGCACCAAGTTATGTTGATGATTTAGAAGATGTAGATGAATAGTTCATTGTGATTATCAGTAAGAAGGAATTATTCATTGAACATTGGTGTTTTTTGTCATATTGTTTGATGAAGAAGAAAGTGCTGTTTCAGTCATTGTAACATATAATAGTAATATAAAGGCAATAAGCCAATCAAAGCTGTGTGTTACAGTGATTTTACTTCACTTCATAGTATGTCTACATGTCTTACCTGTAGTGCCTTGTCTTCAAATTTAATAAGACACAAGATTGTAAGGAAGGTGTAAATAAACAGCTCCTACTAGATTGTAATTGGCCTATTTCACATTTACACCTTGCTTTTTGGCTTCTGAAGCAGGTAGTTATGTTTATGATCTAAACATAACAAATACCACAGTTAAAAATGGCTGTAGAGTGCAGCAGATTAGCTTGCATTTGTGATGAATTTTCTTTTTTTTTTCTTTTTTTTGGAGAAGGTGAACATTAATGACTCAATGATACTCCACCAGCTGGCACATAACTAACTGGAAAGAGAAGACCTGGTGTAGAAGACGACAGATCCCCCTTAATGTTAGAACTGTTAGCTCTAGCTTTAGCTCATCTGAAAAAGCAGCCGTATATCATCACATTTTCACATGTGCTCTTCTGTGTGCTACTAGCTAAACCTGCATCTTCAAGGCATTTTGATACTGCCCTCAGAGGTTTAAAGAAAATCAGCCATATCTGCTATTTCATCAGTTTACAACCAAACACACATTACATTTAAAAGAAATACATTTGAAAAGTAGAGGATCCACATTTTAACAAAATCATGGTGTTCAAATCTGCATGAGTCACTCGTTGAAGCTAATGTTACACTAACATTGTTCACATCTAATCATGACTCAACCCCTTTCTGCTAAATTAAACATGTTCAATCTGCTTATTCATATCACCATGTAGGACCTTCTATAACTTTCCATTTCATATAACACTACATAAGTCGTGCTGCAGAGATGAACTGCAAACTGTTGTAGATGTACAAGCAGGAAGTTCCAAGGTAAAATAGTCCACAAAAAGCTTTTTATTTTTCATATTTACCACTACTGGTTGGCATTACTGCTACTGAGCGCTGATTGGTTGGCGTTACTGCTACTGAGCGCTGATTGGTTGGCGTTACTGTTATTGAGTGCTGATTGGTTGGCGTTACTGCTACTGAGTTCTGAGTGGTTGGCTTTACTGCTATTGAGTACTGATTGGTTGGCGTTACTGCTACTGAGTGCTGATTGGTTGGCGTTACTGCTACTGAGTGCTGATTGGTTGGCGTTACTGGTAGTGAGCGCTGATTGGTTGGCGTTACTGGTAGTGAGCACTGATTGTGAGCTGATTATCTTATTGGCGGAGTGAAGCAGTTCGCGCTCACTGACGTCATGAACGCACATAAAGCACCCAACGGTCTATAACTTGAGTATAAAAGTTATAACAGCAGTGTTGAAATGTTTCTGCTGTTCTGTGTTCAGAAAATTACTGAGCTGTTCTGTATAAAAATCATCAAGCATTTACAAACTGATTTGTACAAAATCTCCCCAGGGGTCCATTCATTTAGGACTCGCTCTGGAGCGCCATCTAGTGTTCAACAAACCTGGAAAACATTACTGAGCTGCAGTTCTCCTCACTACACATTCTCTACATGTAGTGTGTAGTATCTTTGCAGAGAAATCATACAAGTGCCTGTAGAGGCAAACCTGCTCTCTCTCTCTCTCTCTCTCTCTCTCTCTCTGCTGTTCTCTACTGACTGCTGTTATGTTTATATGTGTATGTAACTGAGAGGCTGTTTAGCTGTAATTATATGTAAAGAAAACCTAAGCTGGATAAATTACTGTTGTTGCTAATAATTTTATTTGTAGAAATATAATATATTGGTATCAGTTAATTTACACAGTTTGAACACTTATTAGTGTAAGATAACATATAAGGTGCAAATAGAGCTGTCACTAAAATAGCATTATTAACTGAGTAATTTACTCATTATTTGACTCTTAATCACACCGCGACCCAGAAGGATAAGCGGTTTAGGTGATGTATGTATGTATGTATGTATGACTCTTAATCAAATGGTTTATGTTTTTAAGGCCAAACCACAAAACAGGCTTAATTAAACAGTAATAAACTTTATTGGAAACAGATACATTAGGAGGTTCTATATAATCATCTAGCCATGAAATGCATGTAGTTCAATGTAAACCTTGTTTCTGACTCAGTTCACAGAAAGATGTGTGGATGTTCACTAGCAGAGCAGACTGATCATCTCAGCTCTCAGAACTTTTTTATCATTTATTATCATGTTTGACTTCAGTTTTGTTGATACAGATTATTTACAACAACGTAGCCGAGTCAGTTTGTAAATATACTCAGGCTGTGATGCAGATGTACAAAAAAGTAACTCAATTACTCGAGTAGTTTTACAGTAAACTACATATTCACTCTTACTTGAGTCATTTTCTTTACTAATACTTTGACTTGTACTGAAGTAAATTATCACTGCAGTAACAGCACTTTTACTGAAGTAGTGATTTTCAGAACACTGTCCACTCCTGCTTATTTCCCCCTCTGTGCATTTCATTTAATAAAGACCACCACAGAGCTCTGTTGATGGTCTTTGTCGGTGGGCAGTTTGTATCTGCATTACTCTGTGTTAGTTTGTCTCTGTGAGGACTAAGATGTGGGTGGAGTGAAGGAGCCTTGGAGAGAGTCTGTAATAAAACTGACAGGAAGTTCATGTAAACACAGACAAGATTTCTGTCCCAAACTCAGCTTTTCCAAACAGGCTTTCAGACATGTGACTCACATCAACACTTATTTTTCTTTTAATTGACTTTTGCAGCTTTAATAATTGCTCCTCATTTATGTTTATAATTTTTCTGTCTGCCTTTTTACTTAATTATTTTTTTTTACTTATTATCAAAAAGACGTGTTTAATGAACAATTTTAGAAGCAAAGAATATAAAGTATCAGTTGTGATTAATGCATGTTGTGTGCAGATCTACTCAGGCAGCAGCTGCAGAAGCGAGAGAAGAGGAAGAGGAAGATGAAGAGGGGCTTTTCTGATGAAGTTCACTCCACCTCTGATAAAGAGGCCACAGTGGAACCTCCACATACTCAACCTCGAAATGACTCCACTTTGATGCCATAGTTTCATCTGAAGAGGTTCTTTTCTGCTCTGAAGAGATTCTGGACCTGCTGGAGACAATGACTGACATCTGACCAACACCTGCAGAGATGAGTTTCACTGTCTCAGAAGATCCTGGATGATTCTCTGTTTAGCTGTTTAGTTCATTATTACTGTTTATTATTGCACAAATGTTTAATTATGATTTATTAAATATGTTGTTTATGCAGAGTTTTGTCTTAAACTATAATTAAAATGATTGTAGGTGTAATAACATCATTTAGTCACTGGAGGGCAGCAGTGCGTGTGCTGAAGCTCACAGAAGCTCACTGAACACACACAGTCTCAGAGTTCAGTTATTTTATTACTTGTCAAGAGATTTTTCTTTTTCTCTTTTCATTCTCCTCCTTTTTATTCCTTATTAGCTTAATCATGTTGTAATAGTATCATGTTTGAGGACTTCTGGTCCTCAACTCCTAATAATTATAGACATAATTGACCAAAGTAAAGAACAGTATCTGGTAAAGAATGTTAGATTACTGACAGAGCTAACTTAGAGATTGGAATTTAGCTAATTATCTGCTAATTAAACTAATATCTGATGACTATCTGCTAATAAAACAGTGTGATGGGTAAATCAATCTGTCTGTATGTCTAAAAAGCACTAACAGACCCTCTCAGCACAGATTTCTCTCTTTATCCTTCTCTTTCTACCTGTATTCGTCTGTGTGATGGAGCAGCACTGCAGTTAACAGTGAGACCTGCGGACGGACACTTTGATGACCGTCCACACGGACTGGTTAGCTTTATTAGCATTATCAGCTAAAGCTAATCTCACTGCATCAGTTTTAGTGCAGTGACTATGAGAGAATATTGTGTTGTTAAAGTGATTTGACATGTTGTTACTTTATCATGTTCTGTTTCATTTCTATACAGATAAACTACATTAGCTGTTCAGTTGTTTATCTCCCTCTTTACTCTTTAGTCCACACTGTGAAGAACAACAAGATAATTTATTGTGTAAAAATGAAAAATAGTTCTTGCAATAAAAAATGACTTTTGGCAAAAAATGTTTCATTTTAATAGTTAATAAACTTATGAACAACAGAAACTCTTTTAAGAAGTAAATAAACACATGAACTGGTATTGTTTATAGGCGTCTAAGATTCTGCTAATCACGTTTGTTTTGTTATTTATGTTTTCACTTATTTGTTTATTTTTACACAGCTGTAGAACTGTGGATTGTGTATTTAGTGAGTCTGTAAATTTAATCATTGTTCTCATTTCAGTTTAATTCAAAATATATTTATGTATCGCTTTTTATAACGGGCTCTGTTACAAAGCAGTTTTATGGAAAATCTGTGTCTGAGACCCAGATGAGCAAACTAGCGGTGACAGTGGCAAGAAAAAACTCCCTCAGAGCAAAAGGAAGAGACCTTGAGAGGAACCAAGACTCAAAAGGGGAACCCATCCTCCTCTGGTCGACACCAGATCAATAATTTGATTTTAAGAACTAATTTTTAAAATAATTTGGGGGCGTCTACAGCTTTCTCATCAATTTAGAGTCTAGAATCTATTTTTATAGCTACAAGTAATATAAAGTTGCATAACAGTATAAACATTTTTACATTTATCTGCAACTGTATGAGGAGGAGACGATAGATCCATTGTGAGACACTGCAAATGGAAATATCTTCAAAATACATCTTACAAATATCCAGATCTCCTGTTACAACAAATAAAACCCAGAAACACAAAGCAAATTGAAATGAACCTTTGAAAGTTTCTCATCTCATTAAACAAACATGCACAAATGCACTAAACCTGTTCCACTTTATCTGAACAGCCCCCAATAGATTATCTACAGATGTTCAAACTGTTATCAAACTACCAAACTACTGTTAACAAACTACGTGAAACTCAGTAGATTCTCAACAGTATTGGAGGGTTTTCGGACCAGGGTTAGCTTTAGGACCAAGATTGGGGTTAGATTAAGACTTTGAGTTGATGCTAAGGTCAGATTGAGGATTAGGACCAAATTTAGTTAGTGAGTTAATTTAGTTACTTAGCAGGTTCCAGTTTATTTGAAGAGCCCCCGGTAGATTATCTACAGATATTCAAATTATTATCAAACTTCCTGGTGACACAGTGTTGGGGTTAGTATTAGGATTTAGTTGCTATTTAGTTGATGCTAGATGCTTGGTGAGCATCTACAGTGGACTATCCAAATAAAGTGTTAGCACTTAAGTTAGTGTAAGACTGAAGTTAACTAAGCTTAGTCTAAAACAGCTTAACTTAGTGTAAGGCAATTTGACTTAAATGGTTCCACTTTATTTGAACAGCTCCCAATAGATTATCTACAGATACTGAAATTGTTAAAGTATTTGGTGAAACTCAGTAGATTTTAAACAGTGTTGGGGTTTAAGGGTTTGTAATTAGTTTCTATTTAGTTGAATAATAGGTAAAGACAAGATAAGCATCTATAAAGCATCTACAGTTGGTTATCCAAATAATGTGTTACCACTTAATAATAGTCACAACAACATTATTCATAATAATAATAATAACAATAGTGATAAAAAAATAACTTTTGATCTCTTTACTGTTGAGGCCTCTGAGGATGTTTAGGGACGGGCTCTTCACTGATGTCCACTTCAATGAGAGGAGCGAAGCTTCTCAGCGTTGGTGAGCTGAAGCCCTCAGTGATGCTGAGTTGTCCATCAGGCTGCTCCTCCACTCTCAGAGTGGGACAGCGGAGTGTCTCCCACAGGCGCTGCTTGATCCTGAGGCCAAGCTCCAGGCTGTATGGACGGGGCTGTCCAGAGGCCGTGCTGACCATGGAGTCCACCACAGAGTGGTAGATGGTCTGGTACTCCTCTATGGTGCGACCATGGACCAGCAGAGGGATGGAGCTCTCCTGCAGCGCTGCCTCCCTCTCCCTCCTCTCTGCAGTCTGAATCAAGAAGAACAACAAGAAGATTCAACACCTGTTCACTGATTCTAGAACTGAGTTACTGAATTAAATGTGCACAACTGTTCAGAAGATCAAAATCCCTTTTAATATTAATGTATTTTTATTTTATATACAGTAAAACCTTAAGTAAAAACTATGATGTAGATTTAAATTTACTGAAGTAGAGAACATTAGAAGATTATTAGATTTAGCACAAAAGTAGTAATTTATTACAGCCTAGACACCAACATATATGTTAGAATCAAGATTGCATTTTGGGAACAACTAATATTTATTAAACAATAAATAGCATTTAAGAAAACTTAACATTGACTGACCAAACCAAATACATTAATTTGAAACAGATGACAACACAAGCTTTAAAAGTGATCAGATTAAAGTGAGCTTAAATTTGAAGCATCAGAAATGACTTTTTTATGTTCACGGCCCAAATCTATCATATTACTATATTTTATTCATTTATCTGCAGCAAATCTGTTTCATATTACTAAAAAGATTTTACTGTAAAACCACAAAATACAAAGTACAGAATATTTTAACTCTATGACTTACCAGCTTTAAATGTCAACACTACCATAAGTAATATTAAATCCAGTGTGGAAAATGAAGGTACATCATCATTAGCTTGACGCTAACATCCCATAAAAAATCCCACAAGCATGCTAATAGAAATTAGCATTATGCTAGCGAACAACAAATGCTACTTACAAAGTGAATATTTCTGTATTAAATGCTTCTAATTAATGAAATGTTTATGAAAATATGATATAAAACTGAAAAGCTCCTGATCTCAGTGGAGTATTTATGCTGTATGTTAGTATAGACTGTGCTATTTTGGGGAGATGAGAGTCTAAAAAAGCTCCATGGCTGCTGTGGAAGAGTGGAGCTCCACATGAATGACACAATATAAAATAGTTACTTGTTGGGACTGTTAGGCTCCTCTACCCACGTCTGGGCTCTGTAGCCACACGCTGAAGCTTGGCCTTCTTCCTCCTGCGAGCTGTGACTGCAGATGTAGCCTCTCCCTCCAGCACGTAATCCCTCAGTCGCTTTGAGGGGACGGTCCTTCTTCTGAGTCCGTAAGGACCCTCAGAGCTGCGATTCTCCCTGTCCTGAAACGACAAATTACACCTCACATCATTATTTTACATTCACATGATGCACATTCTCTCATCAGTACCTTCAGGTTCTTGAAAACAAAATTATTTTGTCTACTTCAAAAAGTAACAGATTTACCATTTTCTGTAGATTCTTCTGAATGTGTAGAAGAGCTTCCAGAAGAATGTAGAAGTTTCCAGATGAATGTAGTTGCAGTAATAAAGTTGTGAAGAGCAGCGATTCAGCAGCACAATATCTCACTCAGAATAGAGTTTGATGTCAGTGTTTGAACTCGGTTGCTGTTATCAAAATTCCACAGAATGTTGGATCAGTTCTAGAACAGACATTAGCCAATCATCTGTCTGTATGGACTGTTGAGCCCAAATTTAAACGAAGACACAATTACAGTTTCCACTGAAAACCAACAAATAAATAAATATAATGTAGAGCTGATTTAAATCTACACAGTGTCACAGTGTCAATTTACTTGTGTGTTAAAGGGGGTTAATTGTAATAGAGCACAATGTCGTCAACTAAACCATTCTGATCAGACATCAGTTAACATACACATATCATTTTAAACATTTAAATATGTACAATTTAAATAAAATAATAGTTGCATTTTATATTATTTAGTTACTCATGCATTAAAATGTGAAAAAACGTTTTTTTTTTTCTCTGATAGTGATGTAGTGATAGTGATGTAGACTGTCTGTCACTAGAGTCTCTGTTTCTAAATGTGGTGATGAAAGTCTCTTTGTGATGATCTTCACTGTACTGCACAGTTAAACTCACATTTATCCAGACTTTACAAAAGAAACATTAACACTCAACCAACTTCAGACTCTTGTTTGCTGTTGTTGTTTTCCTTCTCTAGATGTGGAAACTAATGCAGAAGTTTGCACTTCTTTTGTATCAGTTTGTAAAGCAGTCACATGGTTGTGTGCTGAATGAAGCTGTGGATGATCACGTTATTCTTTTATTTATTAAACAAGAATTAATTCAGTGCTTCAAAGTGTGCTGATTCTTTTTTGCTCTGGCACTTCAGTATTAAAGGAAACACCTTTGACTGTATTTTTTAAAGTGTTTTTTTTTTTTATATATATAAGACCAAATTAGCTGAGACTGGAGAATTAATATTTGCTAAGCTCCACCCCCTTGGTTACTGTTGCAATGTCTGAAAAACTTTTAAACCTGCAGTGTAAACTATGGAGTTCTCAATGGCAGGAGTCGATAATTTACCCTGAGAAGTTCAGAGTAGTTTTGGGACGGTATATTCAATATTTTACAGATGAGTTGGCGAAAACGTCTCCAGTATGCATTTGAAGGCATGAACAGAACTGTGATCACACTGCTACAGAAGCCCTGAAGGGCAACATGAAAAAATTAAAATTAAAGTGTGCTCCTAAGTTTGTACAATTTTAGCTATCAAAAAGCTTGTTTTTCACCAGGTTTGGGAAGTGCTAGTTTAAACAGTTGCAATATAATATAATTTATATGTTTCCCAAATGTGAACATCAATTGAATTAAATATTCACAGTAACATGGAGCGAATGAATCTGCATATTTATAGGTCCTTTAATGTTCTATGAGTTCCAGTTCGTCACGAGAGCTTTTAATTAACCCCAGATTGTTTTGAGGATTTTGTCTTTTACAACATGGCAACACACTTCTCCTTCTACTCACAGCTATAAAAAGATGATGAAAGTTCAGAAACTGTGAATCAAGACTGAATAAACTAAATAAAAGTTTAAAAAGTAATTCACAGCTAACTCAAACTTTAAATTAGCTTTTCATTTTTATTACAAAATCTCAAATATTTGCAAAATACAAGAATAAACATTTTTTAAATGAAAGACTAGATGTATGAAATAACAATGTTACAGAGTAAAGAATTTAAAGTAAAAAGAGACCCAATAACAAAACAAAAGAAGCCTAAACAAAAGTGTTTTAATCTAAAAACATCTACACAGCTTGTGTTCCTATTATTGTCTGAAACACTGTTCCAAAGTTTAGGAGCTACATATAAAAGACAAACAGAAATATATAAAATAGTTTTTAATGAAAAATTGAACTGAGCACTAAATGGAAATAAAATGAAATGAAAACACAATAAAGCTGAATAAACTAAAAATAAGAAACTTTATTTATAGAATGTCTCTGAACTGCTTTGAGAACTGAACTGAAAAATAAATCAAAGCTGCTCAGCTACATCACGGACGATGTGCTCTTTATTAGCACACTTGTTGATTGTCTCTGCTAAGCTTTGACTCTGACTGGCTCTAAATCTGCAGCCTGAAGCAGATCAGCAGAGTCAACTACACTGTGAATCAGAGCTGTAATCAAAGCTGAACTCATGTAATGTAAACCTGACTTCATCAGTGTATTATAATTTTTATGACAGATTCATTAGTTTATTTTGTTTTTTATGTGTTTTGCTGTTAGTTCACTTCTGATGTTTTTCTCATTATTAAACTCTGAAGGTGGTTAATTCAAGTTGACAAAAGAAAAAAATAAATATGAACCTACATTTTGGTCTGGTGGCGGCATTGATCATGATTTTATATGTGACTTTTATAAGCAACAGGCTCTTTGAACAGTTTGAGGAAACTGATGCCTTAGACATTCAGTTTTAGAACTGATCAGTAAAGAGCACAAAAATACACTGAGTCTGTTTTTCTCTAATTTGTTTTGTCAGCTGAGTTTCTTTTTAATGTGCAGGTTTGGTGAACAGTGAACAGCTCAGCTTTCCTCCAGGATCCAGAGCTCCTGCATCTTCAGCTCTGAAAGTCCAGTCCACTGAGCTCACAGTGAACGTGTTCTGCTGTTTATGTTGCTGGTTTGTGTTTTTGGATCTGACTGTAGATCTGAGATGGATCATCAGCTACTTCAGCCAAAGGAGACCTGTGAACACAAAGAGATGAACTGGATAAATGTACTAAACTAAACCTCGCCTGAATCAGTGCAGATGTAATGACATGATTTACTCACTGGGGGGCAGCAGTGCGTCTGCTGAAGTTCACAGCAGCGTACTGAACATCCTCCTCTTCTGTGGAGTCTAGAGGAAGTTTAGCAGTGAGGAATGGAGGCTCTTCCTGTGAGTGAGAGGGTCTGAAATAAACACTGGAGTAGTGAATGTCGTCCTGATCATCTCTGTTTGCAGGCTGAGACGGCTGAGCTGAAACATTATCATACACAGCAGCAGCATCTCGCTGAGAGAGAGAGAGAGAGAGAGAGAGATAGGATATGATATTTAAAAAAGGATTTGATCATTTGGTCACACATTCCCTCTCTAACACGCTCACCTGTTCACTCTCCTCAGCGCTGCTGTGGACTTTTTTTCTCCTGAAAAACAAACAACCAGCTGATACAAGCCGAAACTTTAATTCATGTAAAATTTAATGCATCTCATTATTAGTTCACATACCACATCCACAGAGCTGCTGTGATGAGTATTAGAGCCAGAAAGACTGAAACTCCCACTGTGACCAGCTTTAACACTGAGCTCTCCTCTGGACCTTCAGCTCCTTCACAAATAAACCAGCAGCCTCATCATCACATACAGAGAAGAGCTATACATTGTAGAAGTTCATAAAGAGCACAGAGGGATTTAAAAGGTGTCAGACTGACTCAGAGACTCTGTGTTTGTTTATATCTACTGACTCTAAAGGCACAATCAGTTCTCCACACATTCAGTTCTCTGTGTGTTCAGTCAATACAAAAGGAAGCATCTAAACAATCAGGGTTCAGACAGCTGCCTCAATACATACACTCACCTAACATGAGGAGTCAAGCATCCTGTACTGTAGTCACGTGACTGTTCTTATAGTATTTAAATAAATGAGCATAAGTGTAGAGACAGAGAATGTATGGAGGGCAGTGCATATATGACTGAGAGTCAGTATCTCTCCTCTCTCTGATGGACATAAAGCTGTAGAGAAGTTTATACTCTAATTACAGTGCACTCACACTGAATCACCTTACTCATGAAACTTGGTTAATACTTGGTTTATTAAGGAAACATTATTTACAGTATTTACAGCTGCTACATTTGTAATTACATGGTCAACTGAAGCTGACATAACCTTGTTTAGCTTATCAAGATGTTAACACTGTCATTTGCTGGAAGGGCTAAACACAGAACTGCTTTTACCTTTTCTTCAGTTCCTACAACACAAATGGATACAGATGGGAAGGGGTTGATTGTTTGATGTTGTTTCTTCAGTAAGGGGGTCCTTAGCTAAGGGGTGTTCTTCAGATAAGGCATTAACTTTTACCTGCCTGGAGCCTGTCTTCTCCAGGAAACACAAGTCAATTCTGCTTGTGGATCTCTTGTATGGTTTTACCAGTGTTGGGGTAGTTACTCAAAAAAAGTAATCCATTACCGATCACTCATTACATAACTAAAATTGTAATGTGATTACTTTACTCATTACTTTCTGTAAAATGTAATCTCAAACTTCCTTACTTTACTTTTAAATTACATTTTAAAACCTGTACAAAATATACTGGAATCAAATCTACAAACATATCTGGAAAGTACAAAAATGATAGCCAACAGTTCTTTGTAGTTCTTCTTGTTTGAATTTTCCTGTTCCACCTTAAATAGTGCAGCAGTTACATTCTGCCGCCTCAGGCACCATTTAAGGTGGAACGGAAAAACTCAAACACGAAGGTGGCGAATGAGAAGCTGATTTCAGACGTGTAAAAAGTAGAATGTTGAGAGACATTTTACAAGAAATTATTCCGCTTTTCCAGGTGCGAGAAAGTGTGAGAAATACGGTTATAGCTGAGCTAAAGCTTAAAGCAGAGCAAAGTAAGTTTCAAACTGCGTTTGTGCTGCGCTCCTCACAATCATGGTCACATGACAAGCTGTGCTTTTAGCTGTGGCAAGGCGTTAGTGCAGCACAAATTAGCAGAAATTAGCTTTATAAATGCTTTATATTTTGTGTATTAAAAATGACATTTTTTATAGAAAAATGTGAGTAATGCAAGTATCAGTTTTTATTAAGTTAGTAACTGTAATGTGATTACAAAATATTTAACTGTAATGCATTACATTACTTCATTACTTCAAACACTGGGTTTCACCTGTTCTGAAATTCCCCAGGTGTTGATGAGATTGCCTTTTACATATTTAGACACCTAAAGGGGTATATGAATTATTTGTCTTATTTTTGCTATAGTTGTGGGGTTTTTTGGGGGGTATTTTATCCTTTTGTGAATTTTTGTGATACTTCATTGTTCATTGTTATCCTTTTGTGAATTTTTGTGATACTTCATTGTTCATTGTGTCCACAGGTATCCGGTTATTTTTGAAAAAAAATTCTCTGCATTTTGGCCTCCTGTCCACATGAAAACACTGTTTTTGTTCACAAAAAATTTAGGTTTTTGAAAATGCTCTCCAGGTTGGAGATTTCTGAAAACTCCATTTTACTGTTTCTGTGAAGATGAGAATTTATGATTTTTTGAAAACGCTTACACTGTTATCTCTTCTGTTGTCTGCAGTTTTCATTTATTACATATGCAGAACTCTGAAATATGACTGATCAGGTTGTTTCTGTGTGATCAGCAATTTAAGAGTGATTTGGAAGTTATAATGGTATTTATAATCATGTTTACTTTTTCATTAAACCATAGTGTGGAGGCATCAGAATGTACTGTAGGTGGGGGTCCCAACTTGAATGCAGCTATTAAATATGTGTGAATATATATGTGACTTGGTGATCATTAACAAAATCTGAAAGTCAGCTTGTCAATTCTGAATAAATCCTAACTCTAATTCAAATGCAGTGGATAACTAGAAATGTGTGGACATTTCAGAGATGGTGGTGTATCCATAGCAATATAAACAAAAAAACTTGTGGTTTTGTTTCCCAGCAAAAATCAACTTGTAGTCCATTTCTCACATTTTGTTCATACTGTTGTTTTTAAGCGGTGACACTTACGTAACACATGCAGATGGGTGGGTGTTGAATTGTGTTGTCCTAGCTGGTTGTGAGCGGTGCAGTAGTAGAGTCCACTGTGCTGGGAGCTGATGTTGGTGATGTTGTAATTCTGGCCTGTTGTCAGTGGTGCGTCTGCAGCTGATCTCTGCTTAAACCAGGAGTAGATGAGAACAGGAGGGTTTGCATCACTGCTGCAGCTCAGAGTCACTGAATCTCCCTCCACTCTCTCTCCAGAGGAAATGATCACTGCTGTGGTGTTTTTTGGGGAATCTGATTGGAAATAGATTCAAATGTACATTTTTAGATTTGAATGGTCAGGTAGCTAATAAGCTGCTTAATTAACTCCTACTGATCACTAATTACTTATTTGTTGTTAACGGCACCATCACCATATACAATACTGTACAGTAGATAATTGAGTAGATAACCAGTGCATGTAAAACTGCCCACTTACACACTGGAGGTGAGCTAATGTTCTCATGACCTTCAACAGCACAGCTGTAGCTGACCTCACCACTGACCACATCTACAGAGCAGGAGGCAGATTTGCAGTGAATCACAGTCTGTCCATTCTTGTACCAGATGTAAGTGGGGTTGTTTGGCAGAGTGCAGGTGCTGCTACACATCAGTGTTACAGTCTGTTCCTCTGACACTGTGACTGGAACAGGTTCCACTTTCACCTGCAGGCCTGTGAGAGAGAGAAACCCCCATCAGTGTCTTTAGAGCTCAGTCACAGCCAGTAAACACTGAGACACAAGCAGAATCAGAACACACTTCTCCTACCTGTGACAGAGAGAGAGACCCCAGCAGAGCTGTGTGTGGGATTCCAGTAGTGAGCTTTAAAACGGAGGAGATATTCTGCTGAGTCACTGTCTGTGAGATGTTTCAGTCTCAATGTGTTCATATTGACTCTGTCACTGAAAAACTCCACTCGGCCGTCTGCAGGACTCAGCTCTTTGTCCTGTGGGAGGAGTCTAATGTACCAGGCAGGCTGGGGGTCAGGTAGCTGATCAGGCAAGGTGTAGTAACTGTGGATGTCCACTGATGAGCCACTGAGAGCACAGATAGTCTGGGTGGAGTAAGATACACTCCAGCAGCTGTTCTGATCAAAAACACCTGAAACACAAACTCAGAGTGAAAACTTTGGAATCACACACAGTGAATTATAGATAAATATGAAACACAAAATAAACTGAATCATAAACACCCAAAACACCCACAACACACAAACTGAGTTATATCAAATATGCTGAGAGTGCTGGGTGATATGGTGATCTGTCATCACAAGGTTATATTTAAATGTGCTTTCCTGAACACAGTGCACAATGCATCTTTAATGTTTCTGGAGCACGGTCCAACTGCCAGTTTTAGAAAAAAAAAGAGGCTTAGTCAGGAGAGAGCCTGTAAACAACATCCGGTACATGATATCTGTTCCAGCTTGTTAGTAAACATTAGAAAAAAAAATATCATTATACATATTGTCACCCACCCTTACTGTAACATCAGTAGCTCTCAGCCATGTGTAAATGTAATCAAACAGAAGCTGCCATTGAGTTGATGACAGAGTGAGTGAAGTTTAAATTGAGGGTCTTACAGACAGAAGGAGAGCGAAGCTCCTCATGTCCTTTTACAGCGCAGGAGTAGCTGCCCGCATCCACAGCTTTGACATATAAATACTGTGTATTACTGTACTGGTCAGATAAAAGCTGTCTGTTCTTGTACCAGTTGTAAGTGGGGTAGCT